TAATTTTCTCTCAACTGAATCAGGTCAAAATAACATTGGTACTGAGGGTGTTGCACCTCATGTTGACAACACTTCTAACCTTCTTGTGTCTGTTCCTAGAGATCTTCTATTGCAGCAGCTTACTCATTCTCTAGCTCAGATTACCTATCATCAGTCCATGGTGGAGATGATTCAGAAGGCTCTTTCTGATCAAAAAGGGGGAGAAAAAGATCATGAAGCTGAAGCAGGAACATCTCACTCTTTGGATGCTAGAGGCAGAGAGCAAGGAGTTAATGAAGAGGAAGCAAAGAAAGAGGGTGAAGCTCAAGGAGCAGAAGAAAGCAGTGGATCTAGTGATGGAGGAGCAGCAGCTGATACTGAGGAGACCTTGGAGACTCTGGATATTTTACTTTAGATTGTTTTCATGAACAATATTCTGTTTTTGTTTGTGTTTTGTTTATTTTCCCTCTGAACTTTTGTTTAGGACTGCACTTTGGTTATTTCTTTTGTTGGACTATCTTGCTGAATTTGGTTTTAATTTATTTTTTCTATGTTTTTCAAATGTTATCAAATTCAGGGGGAGTTCAAGCAATATCTCAGGGGGAGTCTTTGACTACGATTTAGTTTTGATCAGAAAGTTAAAAAGGGGGAGTTTGAAACACGTGAATTAATTTCACAATGTGTTTTTAACTTTTCTTAAACTCTAAACTAAATCTTAGTTAGTGGGTTAAGTAGTGCTTAGTGGATTTAATTATGGAATTTATCTTAACTTCCTAACTAACCCACTAACCCATTATCTTGAGTGCTCTTGTGGTTGGTTTTCTTGCAGATCATGGGCTGAGGAGTGGAAGCTTGGCAAGTCTATAAATACCAAACTCAAGACTCAAGATTAGTACAGATTTCGAGAGAACAAAAAGAGAGCTGAAGTTTTAATCTCGAGAATTTTAGAGTGTTTTCTAGGATCTGTTTTACGTACTTCTTATGAGTACATTCTTTGAAATCTAGAATTTTTAATATTTTTCTTTTAGTATCTAGATTTGATTGTAAGAATGATCTTGAAAAAGATTCATTCATAAGGAAGAAGTTTTCGCACCTCTTCTGTTTGTATTCTTGGAATACTGATTTTAATATATTTTTCCGTCCTGTAAAGGGCAAGTTCACAAGTCTTTACTTGTGAACATTTTTAATTCTGAGTATTGTTCTTTTGTCTTTATATTTCCGCTGTATGTTTGTTCAAGTGTCATAACACTTTAGACAACACCTCTGTATTAAACGAATTCGGGACCATAAATTCTTTCAGATTTTATTAATGTACACGTGGAACATTAATTTTCATTTATGTTTTGCCAAAGTACTATTATATGTGGTCGGTGGACTTTGAAGGTTAATTTGTTGTGGAAAAAGCATTTTTGGATTTACGAATAGTAACCAACCCTCATTAGGAGAGTTGGTATCTAGCTTTTACCAATAGGGTAACGGTCTAGGGTTCGAGTCCCTCCCTCCCCTACTTCTCTTTGTAATGGACTTGAATTTACTCAAAAAAAAAAAAAAAGATTTACGAATAGTAAAATTTTGACTAGCTATATTCACACACTGATTTCTATTTTTTTCGTACGAGAATACATTAGCTTGCTAATTTGTAAATATTAATTAAATGGATTTTTGAAAATTTGATCATTCATTTATATCAAGCCCTTCGTTTTATTTTTAAACTCGTTTTCTACAATTAAAGAAAACTGGATATTCTTGTGTTCATACGGCTGAAATATGTGAAATCAAAGAATATATATTGATGGAAATGAAAATAAATTTGAGTTACGATGTTCTCTACTAAAGTCTTGCATTTAAAATGCATTTTAGCATTCGAACGAATACTAGATGACAGTATACCTAAACCTAAAATTTAAAAATAAAGGTAAGTTATGTTTCTAATGACGAGAAACTCAGAATCTCATATATATTCCAATTCGAATAGAAAAAAAAAATCTGGAAATATTTTTTTTCCGAATTTTACAAAATTCGATAATTATGTTCGATATAATTTCTACCCCACATATATAATTGATTGTCAAAAGATTTCAATAACTTCTTTTTTAAATAAAGTTTCTTTATTAAACGCAGCTTATTAGTTCATCAAACGAAAAAAAGAAATTGAAAAATGTAGAAAGTTTAAATTTTATTTTATTTTTGTAAATACAAATTTGACAAAAAAAAACCTTGTTACAATAGAATTCATGACAATTCTTGAGTAGTCCCAAGATATACTATATTAATTGGTGATTGTATATTTAAAAGAAAAAAACTAAATTAAAATAAAATAAAATGGAGCACATCCCAAAATCACACACACCGATGGGGTATGAGGTTCTGAACCAACAGGTTTTGGCTTCTTATAATTTTTTAGATTTGGACATAGCAAAATTTCTCGACTCCCATACCCCAAGTAATTTAACTATAGTTAAGGATAATACGGAAGTTATTTAACTATAGTTGAATGTTAACTAGGAGAAATAGGGAAAACAAAAACTTCAAAATAGAAAGACTAAATTACCCTTACTAATGTTTGCGAGAATCGGAGTAAAAAAAAGTATCGAACAGTGCATTATTGAAGTTCTAAAGTGTCAAATAATATAAATTTTTTTTAATGACAAATAATTCGAAGTCTACAATAGAACCTCAATAAATTAGTAATTCCTCTTAAATATTTTTTTTTTCTCGGGTCCCAACCTGGGGACAACGTGCTAAATTGATAATTCTGTAAATTTATAAGATAATACACATTCGAAAATTTTAAGAAGCCCCGTATAACACAAGATATTGACCTGCTTCCAAGGTGATAAGAAAGCTGGTTCAATTAGGTTTTTTTTATGGTACTCGTAATTTACATATTTTATTTTTATACACTAATTTCAATTTTGTTATATTAAATTAGTAAGGTTTGTGTCTTTGTGATGCCATGCCAGCGGTCTTAATAATATATATTAGTTTTCCCTATATTAATTATTAATTATCCCACTCATTTAATAATTTATATATCTTTCAATTTTGAGCCTTTGTATTTGTAGTGTAGTCCCATTACCTCATTTTTAACTTGCCCATTCACAACCCATTCCAAGAACATGCATCTCTCTCTCTCTCTCTCTCTCTCTCTCTATATATATATATATATATATATATATATATATATATATATATATATATATATATATATATATATATATATATATTAAGAATTACAATTTTCACCTGATTCCATTTTTGATCCCTGTTGTTTCAAAGTAAACAAAATTTCACCTTCAAGAGGTTCAATTTTAAACAATTTCCATCCACTATGTCAGCTGCCCGTTCACATGTAACGAAAAACACTATTTCTCGGGTCAAAATTGAAGTTTAAATTATTTTGGGCTGAAAAATGGAAATATTGTCATTATAGTTGTATCATTAATCCAATACAGTGACGATAATAAAAAGTAAAAAAAATGAACCACTATTGGATCTAAAATATAATAAAATTAATATTGACAAAATACAAAATACTATTGTAAATATTTGGTAACTTGTTTACTATGCTAATGCATTTTTTCCATGAGGTAATTGCTGACGCATAGTAATTTGAATTATATATATGTTCAGTGCATGATGAAGCTATCATATATAAGGGGTGGCTAAACAGCAAATCAAATATACAGTCAAATATCTTAAAATATAGTTGACTTTTTTCTTATTATATCATATGATTCACTTGGTCATTTATATTTTGGCCACATTAAAGTATTAATTTGGACTTTGGAAGTTAGTTGTTTTTATTGTTTAATTAAATTTTTGAGTAGTAGAATTCTGACTAATTGAATCCACACAATGATTTTATAATTTTCTACAATAAAGATAAATTTTAACTGATTGAATCGACACGTTGATTTTATAATTTTCTTTAATAAAGATAAATTATGACTATTGATTTTTATAATTTTCAACAATTAAGATCCATAAGAATAATCAAGATCCATTTCCTTTTACGATTTCATCATCCATCCAAATATAAAAGTAAATAAATAAAAAATAAAAAAAATAAAGCATATATCTATTAATATTTAGTTTGAGCTTATATCGAAGTTTTTTATGTGCTGTTGATTGCATATGTTCATTTATTGTTAAATTCTCGGTTTAAGCTACTCCATCTAACGTTCGTCTAAATTACCCGTACAACTCGTGAGCATCTGAAGTGTAAAATTGATTGTTCAGTCGAAACTGTTCGTAAGCATAATGTAAAATTGATTGTTCATCGATTTCAAACGGTGCTAAAACTCGATTTGAGTCGGAAAAAAAAAATTGTTTCAAAATTAAAATTTCAGAATCTATAAATTAATACAGTCGGTCGTGACTAGCAAAATTCTATTAATTCAGTAAAATATTAAATTATCGAACTAATAATTTAGTAGGTTCTTACCAAATCGAAATCAGAATAAACTATAATTTAAGCGATGTTATTAATTTATCGTGCCGTTATGCTGTAGAATGAAAAAACTTATTCGAAAGTCAATAATTCTAAATGTCAACCCCTCGATGGAAGTTGCATTTATTTACCAGAAACCCAATAGATTCTGCCCCTGTAACAAGAAATCAACCCACCCCCCCACCCCACCCCACCCCACCCTCGGGATTCAGAATTTCCCTCCAACATGGCCTGTATTATTATAATATTATATAAACATGAATAAGGTATATAATATATATATAAAAAAAAAGTATATAAACAATTATCTTATATATAAAGCGTAAGATTAAGCCTTGGCTTTTTTCCTTTAGACTTTTTCCCACTTGAGAATTCTTCTGAATATTGATAGTGATGATGCATTGTCTCACCTCATCAATCTTTCTTTAATTTTATTAATTTAATTAATATTATATAAATAAACAGAGGCAGAAACCAGAAATATAAAGCTATATTTAAAGCCTGTTTATCTTTAGTTAGTTATATTCATTATATATCAAATTTGCAAACAAAATTTTCCTATACAATGCATTTGCTTTGAGAAAAAAAAAACCAAAAAAAATAATGGATCAATTTATCGGGAGAGATGAAATAGAGTCGTTCGGGAGAAGCCTCCGGTCGTCGTTCCGGCGGAGGGGCCAGAGTTCCCGGAGCATCTCGGCATTGAGCTCGGAGAATATTCTCGACGAAGACACCGTGGCTCAGTGGGATGCCATTGATCGCCTCCCAACATTCGAACGGCTGAGATCTTCTTTGTTCGATCAAGAAAACGAAGATCAAAGGGTTGTGGTTGATGTTACTAAGATCGGTGCTCCCGAGAGGCACTTGTTCATCGAGAAACTCATCAAACACATTGAGCACGACAATCTCAAACTTCTTCATAAAATGAGGAAACGAATCGACAAGTAAGAATCCATACACACACATACATATACATATGTATGTATATATATAAGTCAAACTAATATTTTTAATTTTGTATGCAGAGTTGGAGTGAAACTTCCGACGATTGAGGTACGGTACAAAAATTTGTCCGTCGATGCAGAGTGTGAGGTTGTTTACGGAAAGCCCCTCCCGACGCTTTGGAATTCTTTGAAAAGTTTACTTTCGGTAAGTATTTCCGTTTATGTCGTTTTATACACATGTCGATTCTGCATTTCTATATGTTACATAATTACCTAATGTCGAAATAAATATTATTTTTTTCGTATAAAATATTTACCAAAAAAACACTATTCTGTCTTTCTATATGTTGTTTCGTATAAATTTCGACTTTTTTCGTTTATAATGTATAGAGTTTCTAGGTGCTGATTTTGCAAATATCTCTGTTTCAAGAAAGGCGTAAAATATTCGTACAATTTCTTTTTCATTTGCACTACATACATTCTAAAATAATAAAAATGCCGATTTTCGTGTTTATATATATATCGATAGGATATGACCAGGTTGCCTGGTTTGCCATCACAAGAGGCTCATGTAGACATCATTAAAGATGTCAGTGGTATAATTAAACCTGGGAGGTAATAAGCTTTTCGATTTTTTTTTTTCGCATTATTATTTATAATAAAATGAAGAAAATAAAACCGATTTATCGCTCGTGAAATCGATTATTTTTAATTACAGAATGACTCTACTGCTCGGTCCTCCGGGATGCGGCAAGACTACACTATTGAAAGCTCTATCAGGAAGTTTGGATAAATCACTACAGGTATCTTTTATTTTTCATTTCAATCATTTTTATATTATCTGAAGTTAATTAATTAATTTATTTTAATTTTTTTAATTTTGCTAAAATAGGTAACTGGGGAGATATCTTATAATGGATATAAATTGGATGAGTTTGTACCTCAAAAAACATCAGCTTATATAAGCCAATATGATCTGCATATACCTGAAATGACTGTTAGAGAAACGCTCGATTTTTCGTCTCGATGCCAGGGTGTCGGTAGCAGAGCAGGTAAACTCGAAAAATCTTTATTTATTTATTTATTTATTTATTTATTTATTATTGTTTCATGATAATAAATATAATGTTCGCTTCTTGGTAAAGATATCATGGCCGAGGTGACGAGAAGGGAGAAAGAAGCGAAAATTATTCCCGATCCGGATATAGATACTTACATGAAGGTACGTACCCTTTCGTGCCTTATGTATTTTCCGACTCTCGTTTTTTTTACATAGGTATTAAATATCGGAGTTCGTTTTTCGTACAGGCAATTTCGGTGGAAGGACAAAAGACCACTCTTCAGACAGACTACATATTGAAAGTACATTTTATAATTTAATTTCCTACTAAATATAATTAGTAACTCATCCATCACGAGACAAAATTACATATTTACCCCTACAAAATTTTCAGATTCTCGGTCTCGATATTTGCTCCGATACCCTTTTCGGAGATGCAATGCGGAGAGGTATATCCGGTGGCCAGAAGAAGAGACTCACAACAGGTGATTAAATTTCACTTGTGCAACTTCTAATGTATATATACATTTTTAATTACTAAACATTTGTGCAGGGGAGATGATTGTGGGCCCCACAAAAGCGTTATTTATGGACGAAATATCGAACGGATTAGACAGCTCAACGACTTATCAGATAATTTGTTGCCTTCAGCAACTTGCACATATTACAGACGCAACTATACTCGTCTCACTTCTTCAGCCTGCACCCGAAACATTTGATCTCTTCGATGAAATAATTTTAATGGGGGAGGGCAAAATCGTCTTTCACGGCCCTCAAACGGAAGTTGTGGATTTTTTTAAGGGGTGCGGATTCAAATGCCCCGAAAGAAAAGGCGTGGCCGATTTTCTCCAAGAGGCAAGTACACTAAACAAATGATTAAAAAAAAATTATAATTATTTTTCGTGTAGTACTAAATTTAAATTATTTTTTTCTCAGGTTATATCTCGAAAAGATCAAGAACAATACTGGGACGAGGACCGCGAGCCATACAGATACGTATCGATCGACGAATTCTCGAAGAAGTTCAAAGAGTCTCGACACGGGAAAAAGATGAACGCTGAACTCTCCGTGGCGTTTGATAAGTCGAAGAATCACAAGAATGCCATTAGTTTCAGCGTCTACTCACTTCCGAAATGGACCCTTTTTCGCGCGTGCATGTCGAGGGAGTTTCTTCTTATGAAACGGAATTCTTTCATTTACGTATTCAAAACTGCTCAGGTAATTAATTAAAAGCCGAATTCCAATATCGATCAATTCCGCATTTTTGCTTTCGTTAGTCACTTAAATTTGTCCGTTTTTTTTTTTTGCAGCTCGTTTTTATTGCGTCGGTGACGATGACGGTGTTCCTAAGGACGCAAATGGGAGTTGATATAGTGCATGCGAATAATTACTTGGGAGCTCTGTTTTTCTCTCTCATCATACTTCTAGTCGACGGAATGCCGGAGCTTTCGATGACGGTAGCACGACTTCCGGTTTTTTACAAACAGAGGGATTTGTATTTTTACCCTGCATGGGCATACGCAATTCCTGCAACGATTCTCAAGATTCCGTTGTCGATATTAGAAGCTGTAGTATGGACCGGTCTTACTTATTACGTTATCGGTTATACTCCCGAGCCCGGAAGGTTAGTAGTAACACCGAAAAAAAAAATTAAATAAAATTCGGTTTTTTTATTAGTCGAACATCATTTTAAGGATTGGAATAATTTTTTCTTTTAAGGTTTTTTCGACAAATGATAGTGATATTTGCTGCGCACATGGCCTCGATATCTATGTTCCGATTCTTGGCTTCTGTTTTCACAACCGTGGTTGCAGCCACGACAGCCGGCAGTTTGGCGATGTTGTTTATATTGTTGTTCAGCGGATTTTTGATCCCACGACGTGAGTAATTTTTTTTTTCTAATTTTATTGTAACGGTCGAATATTTATCAAGAAGATCTTTCTTTTCTAAGTTTTTCTAATTTAGTTATTCCGGTTTTGCAGCATCAATGCCGGTTTGGTTAAAATGGGCATTTTGGATTTCGCCGATGTCGTACGGGGAAATAGCCCTTTCGGCTAACGAATTTCTTGCTCCAAGATGGCAAAGTGTGAGATTGCTTGTTAAGTCTTCTTCGATTTTATATCAACAAAAATGAATGCTTACTTTAGGCCTACTTTCTTGATTTGTTAAAAAAGGAATTCGCCGGGAATAAAACGGTGGGATATCAAACACTTGAAGACCGCGGACTCAACTTCGGCGGGAATCTTTTTTGGGTTTCGGTTTGCGCCCTGTTTGGATTCACACTGCTTCTCAACATTGGATTTACGTTGGCGTTAAGTTTCTTGAAACGTAAGTAACATCACTAAATTAATCTACTCTACTTAATAATGGTTTGATCAATATCGGAAAAAAAAATGCACGCAGCTTCCGGTTCTCGTGCAATTATTTCAAGCGAACAGCTCGCTAAGCTACAAGGAAGTAAAGAATCCGACGACAAAGCTGCAGCCGAAGAGCGTTCGAAAGTCTCTCCTCCTAGAAATAAAGGTAATTTATTATTGTTTTAATTTATATTATTTATTTATTTTATACTGAGGATGTTTTTGCATATTGCTGCAGATAAAATGGTTTTACCATTCCAACCCCTAAGCATAGTGTTTCAAGATGTGCAATACTACGTCGAAACCCCGATGGTAATTAATTTAAAACTCGGCAAACCGCTGCATTTTAAACAGTTCTTTTACATCATTAAACACTATATAACTAATTAACTAACTTCGATTATTTTTTTTTTTCAGGAAATGAAGGAGCATGGTTTCACCGAAAAAAGGCTTCAACTTATATCCGACATCACCGGTTCATTCAGGCCAGGTGTCCTTACAGCACTGATGGGCGTAAGTGGGGCCGGAAAAACAACACTCCTCGACGTACTCGCCGGTCGAAAAACAACCGGCACCGTCGAAGGTGAAATTAAAATCGGAGGGTACCCTAAAGTCCAAAGCACATTCGCTAGAGTCTCCGGTTACTGCGAACAAACCGATATTCACACGCCTCAAATCACCGTCGAAGAATCCGTAGTATTTTCCGCTTGGCTACGCCTCGATCCCAATATCGATCCCAAGACAAAATACGTACGATAATTACCAATTTGTTTTTTTTTCAATACAAATTCTATTTTGAAGTAACAAATTTTTTTTTTTTTGGTTAATAGGAGTTTGTGAAGGAAGTGCTTGAGACAATTGAGCTAGACAACATTAAAGACGCGTTAGTGGGACTGCCAGGTGTCGATGGGCTGTCGACCGAGCAAAGGAAGCGGCTCACGATAGCGGTGGAGCTCGTTGCTAATCCTTCGATTATTTTTATGGACGAGCCCACGACTGGATTAGATGCTAGAGCGGCTGCCATTGTTATGAGGGCGGTGAAGAACGTGGCGAATACCGGTCGAACAATCGTTTGCACTATTCATCAACCGAGTATCGACATATTTGAAGCCTTTGATGAGGTAATAATCAATACGATTTATTTTTTAATATTTATATCTCCAACAGAATGTATCATGCCATGTCACTATATATATAGTTACTACTATTGAAAGCCGGAGGCCGAATGATATATTGTGGGCCGTTGGGTGAGAACTCGTCGAAAGTAATCGAATACTTTGAGGTAAGTCTTTCGTCGTATCGCAAATTTTTACGGGTTTCCTATTTTTTCTTAATCAGGAAACATTTTTTTTAATTATGTTTACCGTTTTATTATATATATATAAATAGGCAATCTCCGGTGTGCCGAAGATTAGAGATAATTATAATCCGGCTACATGGATGTTGGAAGTCACTTCCGCTTCCTCCGAAGGTGAACTCGCCATAGACTTTGCCGATACATACAAGAATTCCGCTTTGCACGAGTGAGTCCGATTGACACCAACTTTTTCGTTTTCTCTCGTACTAAGTTAGTCATAACCACATTTTCTCCGATGCCTTCTTAGGCCTCGTTGTTTGGTTCCTAAAATAAATTTAACCAACATAAGAACTTAAGTATTTAGTTCAATTATAGGAGGCCCAATAAATAATCTTCCGATGAACCATTTTTTTCTACACTTGCGGGCCGGCCTGAAAAGTTATTGGACCAGCCAAACATGCTATAAAGTCCAATCAATTAATTAATCATGGCTAATCTGACCGATCAAATGTGTCCTCAACATAATAAGATCACATGTACATGGTAGTCAATCTTGTCTAATTTTTTTTCTCTCCAAATTAATTTAAAGGCAAAACAAAGAGCTAGTGAGAAAGATGAGCGTCCCGCCTTCCGGATCAGAAGACCTGCATTTCCCGACCCGTTACTCGCAAAACGGGTGGGGACAATTCAAAAGCTGCCTTTGGAAGCAACATTTATCTTACTGGAGAAGTCCTAAATATAATTTAATGCGTTCGATTCATATGCTTTTCGCGGCTTTTCTCTTCGGCATCCTTTTCTGGGGTCAAGGCAAAAAAATGTAAGCACATTAATTATTATTACAACATTAACTTTTGTTGTAATAACATTGCTTCAGCTAATGAAACATCTGCGTTGATATAGAAATAATCAACAAAGCCTGTTCACTCTCCTCGGCGCAATGTACAGCTCAGCTCTATTCTGCGGCATAAACAATTCGTCTTCGGTTCTTCCGTATGTCAGCACGGAGAGAACTGTTCTCTATAGAGAAAGATTTGCTGGAATGTACGCTTCGTGGGCCTATTCGGCCGCACAGGTATTCATTTATATATAGTTTCTATTCAGAAATATATAGAGATTTATTATTTTTCGAGCTGTCAGTTTCTATTCAGAAATATAGAGATTTATTATTTTTCGAGCTGTCAGTTTCTTTTAAAACATATAGAGATTTATAATTTTTCGAGTTGTCAGTTTCTATTCAGAAACAAAATCACGTTTGTCTCTTTGCAATTTAATTAAGTGTTCACCCCTTTGATTAATTTAATTTTATTATAGGTGATAATCGAGATCCCGTATCTCTTAGCGCAAGCAATTGCATTCACGGTGATAACGTATCCGATGATTGGATACTATTGGTCGGTGTATAAGGTGTTTTGGTATTTCTACACTATGTTCTGTACATTGCTATACTTCACTTATCTTGGGATGATGCTTGTTTCGATCACCCCGAATTTTCCGGTTGCCGCAATTTCGCAGTCGGCGTTTTACACGATGTTCAATCTTTTTGCCGGATTCTTGATTCCTCACCCGGTTAGTTCTTTCTTTTACATGCACATCTTATGATACTATATAGTCAATATTTACCAACACATTGCACAAAAGTTATTGCATTTCGTAGCCATATTTTATGTGGATTTGTTAGTAAACTGATCTCTATTTTATATTTTTTGGCAAACCTAAAAGCATTTTTTTACAAACCCCTGAGAACTTTTTTTTTAGGGTAAATTACAAACACCCCCTGAGGTATGGTCAAATTACAAAAACCCCCCTCTTGTTTGGATAATTAAATCTACCCCCTCAACTATGATTTTTTCTTAGACCTCCACCTTTATGGTGCCAAATTCAACATAGTCATCTAGATTCCGTGAAATGTGATCTAGTTTGTACTCTTTTTGTGTAAAAATACAGTTTCCGATGCACCACAAACTGATATATACAAGCTAAAAATCACATATTATGATCATCTTGCTTCATAATGTAGAGTTTGAATGGATAAAACGGGTACAAAAGTGATAATATTCCACATAATCTCGAAGATTCCACTAAATTTGATGAGTTGAGGGGGGTGGTTGTAATTATTCAAACAAGAGGGGTGTTTTTTATAATTTGACCATACCTCAGGGGGGTGTTTGTAATTTACCCTTTTTTTTATGGATAGTTTGCTAAAACGTGGGGGTGAAAATTAGAAAAAAAATTCCGATTTTCGCCGATACTGATTTGAAAATTTTCTAATTATGGAAAAATAAATTTATTCCGAATTCCAATTTCTGAATATTTTTTTTGGGGGTGAACGGGAATAAATATGAGATTCCGATTTTCGATCCTATTTAACTTTCTGAAAATAATTTCTAAAATTCTGTATTATGTAATTTAGGTGACTAAAAAATTGGAATTTTCTGAATTACGCCGATTCCAATCCGAAAATTTATAATTTTGATACAAGTTTTTTCATTTCAATTTTTGAAATTCCGATTTCCAATTTTTATGGTTTATTTTTGGACAAAATTGGAACCATCTTTTCACTTCCGAAAAAATCACATTTTTTTCTTCTGAAAATACTAATTCCAATTCAATCCAATCCGTCCGATTTTTACCCCTACTAAAAAATAACGAATCGTAGGGGATTCTTTGCCAATAAAATATCATGGAGAGTTTTTTATTTTAACAATTAGTAAAAATACAGGGGTGCCTAATGCAATAAACCCTAAAATTTATGAATAACCATCAAAGTTATATTAAAACTTTTGTTTTTTTGATAAATTACATAATTTTATTTGCAGCAAATTCCGAGATGGTGGATCTGGTTTTACTACCTGGTTCCGACTTCTTGGTCATTGAACGGCATGCTTACGTCACAATTCGGCGATATAGAGAAGACAATTACAGTGTTTGGAGAAACAAAAACAGTGGCGGCCTTTCTGAGAGATTATTTCGGATATCGGCACGATCGTTTACCTCTCGTCGCTGTGATGTTGTTTTTGTACCCTGTCTTTTTCGCTTTTCTTTTCGCATTTTGCATTAGCAAGTTGAACTTTCAAAGGAGATAAGAGAGGATGTATCACGTGTGTGCTTTAAGCAATTATTTGTTTCTAAATCTTGGTTTATTATATCATTTCTAGTAGGGGTGTGCGCGGGTATACAATATGAAACTACGTTTGTCGTCGTCGTCGTCTCCTAAAATACCTCCAATTCCAGCCTTACCAGGGTTATTTAGTGTAGGTTTGATTTGAAATAAATTAGTTATACTAATAACTTTTATTCAAATATTTTTAACATTAATTTCCTTATTTTGCAACAAAGCTTCATACATTCTCAATCATGGGTTTGGATAGAAAAAAAAAATACTTCTGGAAGAGTGTGGAATAAGATCTTGAAATTAGGGCAAACTTGAGAAATATAAGCAAGAAACTTTACAAAACACGCAAACCACAAAAGATATATAATAACACGAGACATTATAAGTCATGTGCGAAAAAACTCAACCTATAAAATATTGATAAGAGAATTTAAATTCATGTTCTTTGATATGCTTTCTGGCTCCACCAACTAGACCAACATTGCAGGTCTAAAGTAACATAATCTTTAGTACTATAGTCAAGGCCTAGATTTTAATTTATGATTTTGTTGGAACACCATATGGGGATTGAGAACCATTTTACTTGATTTGTGTAAGTATTGATTTCTTGATTATATCGTCGCGTCGAGTTGATATGATTGTTAAAGTGCCAATTTTTTTTCTACAATATGTGGGCCAATGTTTTTGAAGGCACGTTTTCAGCTTATTTCACTTTTACAATAATGAATCATCTAACTCAGGCATTTTAAGAAGCCTCCACGTGTTAAGGTGATACGTGGGCCACTTTGTATTTTTCAGATAAAATATTAAAGGGCAAAATTAAAAATATGTGGGACCTGTCCGATAAAAGAGGAGTTAGGTGGATTTTGTGTGTGTTGGGGGAGGGGGTGTTGAAGGGGCTGGTGGGACATACTATTTATTGTTAATATAAGGGCAAAATTTATTTTGCACTCCTGTACTATGCGAAATGTATCATTTACCCCCATGAAGTATAGAAAACATCAAACACCCCCCTGCCGTTAGTTTTTTTTTTCTAATTCCGTTAGTCAAACCCTTTGACCGACTATTGCAAAGAAATGTTGGCTTTATTTATTTTAACGAAAATACCCCAAAAAATTTCTATATATAGGATGCTTCGTTTTGACAAATGTTCACTGTATTTTTCACTTTTTTCCGCCCTTTTTTTTTCACTTTATTCAATCATTTTTGTTTTTTACATTTTCAGCCATTTTTCTTATAAAAAAGCTGAATAGTCGATAAATAAGAATGAAGCTTCGCAAATTATAAATGTAAAACCCACAAAAAGGAAAACTAAAAGTCCTGAAATCTAAAAGAAACCATAAAATTGGAATCAAACCATATGAAAGAATCACAAATTAAAAACAAAGTTTTTCATATTATAATGAAAAATTCTCGAAAAAGAAAACCAAGAATAAAATTAAATCCTAAAATCGACAAAAAATCCTAATTTGAATGAACGCTAGAAATCGTCAACAATCCAAAAAAATATGCCTAGAAAAAATTAGGAATTATATCAAACATAAAAACAGGGTAAAAGAGTCATTGCGCACTCAAAATTTAACACCGTTAAAATTTTGACCATTGACCGTTAAAAGTAGGGGGTGTTTGATGTTTTCTATACATTAGGGGGGTAAATGATACCTTTCACATAGTACAGGGGTGCAAAATGAATTTTACCCTTAATATAATTATTATTATTAAATAGAAAAAGAACATTATATTGTTGTACTTTTTATTTTGCATTCATCTTATTTTGAATAAGTCATTAAAATTTCGAAATTATTATAATTTTTTGAAAATTTGAATTATTGTCAACAATATAAAAAAAAATGGTTGTGACCTACTGCTCCTTTCAATATTTTACCTGAAAAATATAAAGTGACCCACATATCACCTTGACGCATGACAACTTCTTAAAATGTGGGAGTTGGAATGACGCATTATTGTAGAAGTGAAATAAGTTGTAGAAGTGAAATAAGCTGAAAATGTATCATAGTTTTCAAAAAAATTGGCCCACATATTGTAAATTTTTTTTTGGCCCGATTGTTAAGTGAATGAACATATCAATTTATGTGTTTTATTTGTGCTCATTGAAATTGAGTGTGAAGATCATTTTAATAAATTGGAGGGTAGTTAGAAGAACCTTCGAATCGATTTCGCGGGAAAAGTGTGCTTGTGAAATCATCGGCATATAAATATTCACCTTAGGTAGCCGTTATTGATACTTGTGCTTTAAGTTTATGTTTGAATTTGATACGAATATAGTAATTTATTTTTTTGAATACAAGATATATCAATCACACGAAAGCGAGTTGTAATTAACACCGTATTTCATGTTATCATATATAGCTTGAATAATTGAGGAGATTTGGGTGAAAAATCAACAACACATATATGGGAAGATAAAATTAAAGGTTGGTTTTTATTGATTAAATCTTCGTGTTTATTGACTTTCTCCGTTAATTTAGATACAAAAACCAACCAATTACTTTGAATAATTGGATAAAAGTATAGTTGCAAGAATTTAGTACTTAAAACTCGAAACGCAGTACACCAAAATTACGTTTACGCCCACTCAAGCAGCTGATCGGTTCGTCTTAGCATTCATGAACTGTCTATATTAGTGATAAGGATATTTTTTGGAGGAGGATCAATTCTAAGTGCTGAATTTACTTATGCTGTTAATGAACTCCAAAAGAACTTTGTTTTCGTCGATTACTTACATGCCGATATTTGTTGATTTTATTTATACATACAACCTTACAAAAGTCTTCGATCATGTCTGTCACTAGATAACGCAACATGGAAACGTGAAAACAATTAATTCCTACGAATAATCCTTTCGAACAAATAAACAATCGTAATCGATTGGAAAAGATAGAAAAATCTCTAGAAAATGTATTAATTTCAAAAATAGTTTAATTGTAGCTATTGCAAACCTATTTATAATACCAAAAAGTAATGAAGTGCTAATAAAACTTGACAACCTAATTATTTAACTAAAAAACGAGTTAAAACTTGATTCTAATAGATTTTGTAATTTATGGAATAACGAATCCACAGAATCTTAATCTGAATTTTGTATGAATTAACATGAATTTCTAAAACCTTCCTCAAATGACGAAAAAAATGACATTTGAGAATCTAAACGACATTTGGTTATGGAAAAAAGGCATTGCAACCACATTCATTCCAGTACGGCAAAAAAATGTTTTTCTCCGATAAAAATGCACATTTGTTCGTGTTTTAATAAAAAAAATTCTTCGATAATTGTTTTTTTTTTTTTAAATTACTATATTTTAATATTATTGTTTCATAATTTACATTATTGGGATAAAATGTGCAACATTTTATATTTGAAGAGGTATAAAAATTAAATTGTTCCCTAACTAAATAACCTATTGAGGGAACGCACAATTATTTTTAGGGGAAAGTACAGTTTGCACCCCTGAACTATGGGGCTTGTCACAAACACCCCCTTAAACTACGAAACGTACCAAAATGGCCCCTCCGTTTCCAATCCGTTTGTGTACAATGACGTGTCAAGTTGACTTTTTTCATTTTCAATTAGTTTTGTGCCCGCACCATTTTATTGACGTTTTTACCCCAGTTTTATATATATATATATATATATATATATATATATATATATATATATATAAAAGTACAGCTAATTAAAAATAAAAATTAATTAATTAACTAATATCATCAACAAAACACATTACAGTAAACCAGAGTAGTAAAGGGAATTGCAAACACGTTGCAGAGAAATAAAGGAAATTGCAAAAAATGGATTTTGGGCATTTCGAATTCGTTCAAGCGCAACAATCAATTGCTTTCAAATCTGCCAAATCGATTGCTTTCACGAACATGATAACTACCATCCCAGTACTAATCCCCAATTGCTGAGAGAAATTGTGGGCCCCAAATTGCTTAATTTCGTCTTCGTTTGTCCACAGGCGCCGGAAGAGCTTGTAGGATTCGTTGGGTTTTTGGCAACGATGGGTTCCTATTGACGGTTTTCTGATTGTGGGGAAGGCGACGGTGACATGGGCGGGGAGAAGAGAACGGAGGAGGGCTATTAATGGCGAAAGCGGCGGAAGAGGCGGAATCATCTTTGGTCGAAACTTTCTTCATCTCTCTCTCTCTCTCCGCTTAGCCCAGACGCGAACCATGCTCCGATTTGCGCAGGCTTTTATTGCTTTCCGATTCGGCTAATTTTGTTGGAAATTTGGGATTTTGAATTGAGGGAGACGACGCAACGGGGGACTTTAAGGTTGTAGAAACAGAGGCGAAAGTGGTGAGATTAAAGAAAAGCTTGACGTTGGGACAATCAAAGAAGAGATTCACATAGAAGTGGGTGCGGTGGTGGCCGGGAGAGAGGCTGCCGGTGAGATGCTTGTGGTGGCAGTGAATTTCTTCTGCTCAATATTTGATTTGGAAGAAGGTGTGCTTACTAGGGTTGTACTCAAAGGTACATCCCGATAATGCAAACATATTTTAAGGACAAAACGGTAAATGCACACATATACTAACGGTGTTAAGTTTTTGACAGTTGACTGAAAATAGCAGGGGTCATTTCGTTACGTTTCGTAGTTCAAGGGGGTGTTTGTGACAACCCCTATAGTTCAGGGGTGCAAACTGTACTTTCCCCTTATTTTTATGTTCAGTTGCTTTAGTGCAAAAATTGAAATTTTGAAGGGGTTAAGTGCAATTTCCCCTTATACGGCAGGCATAAAAGATGATCCACGAAATATGGCATAAAGAAATGGTCAAATTCCTAAAAACTAACAATAGATATATATTAACACTAATTCAGTTTCATAAGTAATGTCAAATTACGAAACCACGTCATTTTCTCCTTTGATCCGCCGAAACAGAGTTCCGTTCGTATCATCATAATTTATCGATCTTCGTAGCGTCAGGTATAAAAAAATATTTATAACAATTTTTTTTTCTTGAAAATTTTCGTGGTTTCTCAAATGTATATATCATTGTCAAATGTTAAGAAGAAAAAAAAAATTATTTCTTTTTGTCCACAGGAGGTAATGGCGCTTCAATGTTATCCGAAATTTCTTCACCGTTTTAAGAAATTAATAGGCGATTGTAATAACGGTGACGATGATATCCGAAATCGGGACACACCGATGATTCTTCGCTACTTTTGTTGTCCCGATTATCTGAGGATTTCCGTTATCGATTGGAAATCCGAAAAAGAATGTAAGCTAAGTGTCCTCAAGACATTAAAACGCGCTTATTTCGTCGGTTGTTGTAATGGATTAGCCTTGTTTACGTCGGACAATCCTTCGCGCGTGCACATTGTTGTCAATCCTTTATCTTGCAATACGGCAACGATATACGGTCCTTTTAAAGGAGGTGATCCATGCGGTTTTTTCTTCCATCCTTCGGAGAAAGAATATAGGATTCTCAACGTGCGGAAAATAGAAAAAGATAAATACGAGTACCACGTTTACCTATTCGGAACCAATAAATGGAGGAAAATTCCGGATCCCTACTTTAAATACGAACCTACACGCCACTGGAGTCGTAGGAAAAAGGGACAAAAAACGATTAACGGTAATCCGGCAATTGTGAACGATGCTTTGCATTGGGATATAGGTGCAATAATGGTGTTCGACATGATTAGTGAAGAGTTCACGTTGAGGAGCGCTCCCTTTAAAGAAACCAAAGGAAGAAAATACGTGACGAGGCATCTCTCGGCGAACGAAAATCGCTTGTGTTATTGCCACTTGGGTTGTGAAGAACCGGTGATGGATGTATGGATTATGGAGGACTACGAAAAATGGTCTTGGGTTAAAAAATACGTGGTTGATCTCGATTTCGACATGAACAAGTACCCGATGGAAAGCGATTTTCGTTTTACGACACTGTCTGAAATAATGGGTTACATAACGATTGTGGGCACGCACAACAACGAGTTGATGTTGTTTTGGAAACGCAGAGGAATGTTTTCGTGTCGTTTAGGGTTTAATATTGTGAAGAAAATTCCTTTGAGGAAATCTGAAATGGATTGGCATATGCATGAGTTTAATTGGTTGTGTGGCTTTGAGATTTATAGTGCAATTTAATGAGGGTAGTGATAAGTTTATGAAATTAATATTCTTTTTTGTTAAGATGTAAATTTATATGTTGGTTAGGGCATCTCCAACCAGGCAACCATGTGGTTTTTGGAGTGCTAAATGCTATAATTTAACAATTTTACCCATTATGAATTAAAAATCATGCTTCAAGGGAAGAGCTATAATTTTGCGTACAACCTAAAATCTAACATGGAACTGGTATATATACTTTGTTACTATTCACATATGATATATAATAAAACATTAACATATTTAATCATAAACGGCAGGGCCGGTCCTGGGAATTTTGGAGCCCCAAGCAAACTTTGAACAATGTCTCCTTATTAATTCAAAATTATTTAGCTTTATTTAGCTTTTTATACCGCAAATCATAATAATTTATAAGTGTCAAACCTTTCCTTTTTTTTTTCTTTGAGTTGCTACGCCACAAAGGTCTGCAGAAAAGAGACAATGGTTTTTCTCTTCTTTTTCTCCCCTTTTTAATTAATCTGATTATTGCCTTCTTTTAATTTCACATATTGGGTATTAGAAAGAAGATTTCTTTTTTTACATAAATAGGATTTTCAAACTAAAATGTCTATATATATATATATATATATATATATATATATATATATATATATATATATACTAGTTTTTTTTTTTAATTTGGGGGCCCCTTAGAATTCGGGGGCCCAAAGCCGATTGTGCTGCAAATAGCCAGGACCGGCCTTGATAAACGGCTAACCCTTTTAGGTCTGACTGAAATAGAGATTATTTATATTAAGGCAAAATGAGTTTTTTAGTCCTATAAGTTTAGTAATTGGAAATTTTAGTCCGCCACGTTTTAAATTAGAATTTTAGTCCTGTAAATTTTAAAAGTTGAGAATTTTTGTCATATCACCTGCTGTAACATGTAAAATGCTATAGACAATGGTTGGTTGAATGAGTTGGCATTTAATTTATAAAAATAAATAGACCAAAAATAAACTAAATGATGTGGTTAATGAGTTGGATGATTTTAGAAGAAAATTTGATCCCAATGTCAAAGACATCAAAATAATGGGAAAAATTTAACGTATTTATTTTGTATATTTACTTTTTATTAATATTTAACATATTGAAAATATACCACCATATTTATTTATGAAGAAAATAAGCATTTACTTAGTAACTAATGTATAATTAATATTTTATAGCTTTTAATTGATAAAAAATAGTATTTAAATTCATACTTATCTAAATATTTTATTTAATTTTTACAAATCTAGTGATCAAAATGAAAGTGATCAAGTAATCAAATTCAACCAAAATACGAGTAAAAAAAATTCTATTGAAACTTTTTTGTAAAGTTAAATGACATGGACAATTATAATCAGTATAAACAATCAAACGCACATTTACCAATTTACCAAAAAATAACAAAATATATTTATAGCTTTGTTTAATTAAATGTACCAAAAAGTATTCTAGAGCATCCAATACGTTATCGAGTAACAAATATCCACAAGAGTAACATATTATAGTTAGTTACAATTGAAAACTATGAAATATTAATTAAAATAAATAAATACTAAAAAAAATACTTATTTCTTTTATCAAAGAAAAAATAATTTAATGATATATTGTAGGGATGGGATTGAGTTGGTTTTTATCCACCAACCGACCCATTACCGACCATATTTTTAGGCGGACAGTCAATTTTTAACCGACCCATTGGATCGGGTCGAAAATTTCAACCAACCCATCTATAATGGGTCGGTTGGTGGTTTCTAATATTATCAAAAGTTGGTTGACCGATAATTGGTCATCCAACTATACTATTAAAATTTTATTAAAAATATAAAATAAAGGCCGTATTTTCTTAAGTGGTTATTGAAATTATCAAAATAATTAGTATTCTAAATTTTAAAACAATCAACAAAGGAAAAAAAATGACCTAAATCTTCAATCAGTTTCTTTGTGCCCAAGCTTAAACAAAAACCCCACAAAACTCCATTAAATCGCTTGTGCATGTTTGAAATTACTTTGAATTTTCTAATTATATTTTTTCGTTAAATCGTTATTAATGATTTTGAACTGATAAATGATGATCGCACCGTGCCATTACGCAAAATTTGGATATTCTTACTCCAAAATTTGATTTTTTTTAAGTGAACTAGGTGGCGGGTATAAACCATCAACCGACCCATTCCGGAACCAAATATGCGGTTGCCAACCATCAACCGACCCACAAAGGTTGGGTCGGCAATGGTTTTCAAATTTGAGCAAAAATGGTTTGACGGGTGGGTCGGTTTTTAGGCTGGTAATCCACCGACCCAACCCAGTCCCAGTCCTAATATATTGTATTTCCCTGTAAAATCGTCCAACTCATCTGCTACATCATCTTGTTTATTTTAATCTATTTAATTTTATTAATTAAATTTCAACTCATTGAATTACCTGTTATAGCAGGTCATAGGATCGAAATTCAACTTTTGTAACTACATAACTAAAATTCTGATTTTGAAATATGGTGGACTAAACCAGTAAATTTACAGGACCAGAAACTCATTTTGCCTTTATACTAATAACTTCAATTTAAATATTTTTAACATTAATGTCCTTATTTAATTTCGCATAAAAGCTTCATATAATCCCAATTGGGGGTTTAGATAGTTGTGATGTTTAAAAAAAATCAATTCTCAAAAAATGTGAAAAAGATCCTGAAAATTGGGCAAACTTGAGAAATATAAGTATAAGTTTTAGACTTAAGTTTCAGGAGAAACTTTACAAAACACGCAAACCACAAGAGATATGTAATCCCGCTAGACATTATAAGTCTATGTGCGAAAAACTCAACCTCCAAAGTGTTGAATGTTGATAAGAGAATTCCTTTATGACTATATGTTTTTTGTTGCTCCACCAACTAGACCAGCATTGCAGGCATAAAGTAACATAATCTTGATTACTATAGTTAATGTCTAGACATTTTTTAGGGTATTACCCCCACACTCCTGAGCTATGCTAAAATAACTTTAAAGTCCTTGTGGTATAGGTTATTACAATCACCCCTAGTTCTATGTTGTCTAGACCATGTACTGAAACTAATACCCTGTTAGAACTCTATCGGAATAACGTATTCAATGGAAAAATAAAGAAAATTTAAATATATGATAACTAAATAGTATTAAAATAATTAGTTGTGGAATTTAAATTAGTTAAATAGCATACAAAAATAAATTAGACAGGGCAAAATAATTAAAATAAAAAAAAATCCATATTGGTGTGTGCCTGAGCTAGAGATTTTGCTTTACCTCTTCCGATAATTAAAATAAAAAAATTCCACGTCGGTTTGTGTAAAAAAGAGAGATTTAGAAACAAATTACAAACCTTAAAAAGGAGAGGAAAAAAGACAATGCGAGTGGATTAAGATTGTACTAGTCGATTTGCAAATTTGATTTGCCATGAAAGTCAACAAAAGACTGAAAAATAAGAGATGCAATTTGTTTTTTAAACATTACTATGCCTCTAGGATTTCTTAGACTGGCATTTTTACTTAAACCTCGTTTGCTTACCTATATCAGATTATATTAGATTAGGTGAAATTTGATTAATATTCCAGTGGCTAACTATAATTATTTAGTTAATAAGATGTTTGATTCGTCGTATTAAATCTTCTATGAAATTTGTTAAATTATGTATTAAATGTGAATTGTTTCAAAAAGTCTTTTAATGAACAAAATTAAGATATTATTTTAAGAATAAAATTGTATAATCCTCTTTTAATCACCTCCTACAAAATTAACCGCAGGGAGGAGGGGTGCTATTAATTTAACAAAATAATAGTATTTAATTGTGGACTTTAAGTCTAGTCACAGACTAAATAAATACGGATCTCATCAATCAAACATCTTACTAATGTGTACTATTTAGTTAATACTTAATGGAGCTTGATAACACTAACCAAACGATGCCTTATTATTCAAGATTATTAGCATTATTTATTAAATATGAGAGCACACCTGGTTATTAAATTTAATAAATTCAAAATTAAAGTGTAATCTCCCTAAATAAAAAAGAAAACCAAAAAAATGCGAGTGTAATCATAGGGGTTGAGTTTGGATTAAATATGTTTCACAAGGCTAAGGGCCCTACCCATTTTACCAGCCCAATATCCAATATTAAATTACTAATGTTCCTACATGGGTCGGGTTATCCGTACAGATGACCCGGCTTATTTAATAAATAATCATTTTTCCAGGGATTTTGTCAACGAACAAAAAATGGAGGCTTCCCGTTTTCGAATGTGGCCAGTGGAGATGAATTTCAGTGAAGAAGGTAAACAATTAAAATTTACTTTTTTCACCTGATTTGAATATTTTATTCACAAAATCACCGTGCAGTATAATTTTTTTTTTTAAATAAATCATTTGTAATTTTTTTTAAAAAGATTTCATGGAATCACTTGAGCGAGCACTCCCACCTCTTCTCCACCTTCAACCGCTTCCTCCGCTGCCGGTCAGCCTCCCTCCGCCGCCGGCCACCGAAACACGTGAGTGAGCAATTCATATTGTTAATTCCTTCACATTATTCATATAAAATTTGGGGCAAATTAAAATTACGAAAACCTCCCTGCCGTTTGGGTAACTACAGCTAACCCCTCAACTGTGTATTATTTTACGAAAAAAATACCTCCAGGTATAAATTTAAGGATGTTAATTCCGTAAAAAACCGAACCGAAATACTGTGTACCGAACATAATATACGATTTGGTTCGGTAAATAACCGAATTACGTAAATTTTATTGAAAATATTTAAAAGGAGGGGTGTTGTAATTACCCAAATAAGAGGGTTTTTTTTTTCGTAATTTGACCTTACCTCAGGGGTGGTCGTAATTCGCCCTAAAATTTGTCAAACATTGGGTGAATCCGTGAATGGTTTCGTAATTTCGATTTGTTCTGCATGTAAATTAATACTCGATTTTGCCCTAAAAGAAGATTAGGGTTTGTTGCTGTGCAGATTGCGTCACCGTTTCGGAGAAGAGGGCAATAGAAAACCTAGAATTGAGCAGAAACCTTGTACACTGCGTTGAAATGCAGGTCAACAGAAAATGCAACGAGGAGTTGATGAAATTGTTGAAAAAAATCGGGGGCCATGGTTTGAAGATGGGGGCAACTACTTTGTGTTTCCTGTTTTATTTTAAAGAAGAAAGACATCCGGCTGTAATTGCGTGTACGACCGTGACATTTATTACGGAGATTATAAGAGAGGAAATCGATTGCTATTTTGCATTAAAGAGGGTGCGTCCGCGTAGAAGCCTAATCAGAATGCGTCGAATCGCGTTGAAGAATAGAGTTGGGGAGCTTCGGGATATGTTAAGGGAGCCGTATAATGGATTTCTTATGAGCCCAAACAACGCCACTATTGGAATTGATTCTGCTCGAGCTCGAGTTGTTCGAATTGAGGATACCCTTGTGCGTGAAATCGAAGGTTTCGAAGTGAGTCATACGAGATTCTTGATATTGACGCTTTTAGCATGTGTTATGTGTCTCGTGGTCGTATTTTCTTCGGGCTGGTTCTTGGGTAGAGGTAATTAACTTGCTTTCGTTTCTCTATTTTGCACATTTGATGATTTTTCTTTTTTAGTTAATCATGCGGTTTCGTTTTCGTTCGTTTGTTTTTCCCCTTATGTATTGGCTATGGAGCAGTCCTTTAGCATTACTCGAGAAGTCTCGGCCACCTATGTACTTCCATATCCTAGGTATGCAATTTGATATCTCGATTCTCATGTTTATTATGCTTTCGTATTACAAATACATGCGTCTTCTTATGATGTTTGGCCAATTATTATGGTCGGAAATATATTAGCCAGGGGTGTAAGATTTCTTGATAGCTGTGAGGAAACTTGTTATTTATTTACTTTTTGAACAAAACGGAAACCGTTATTTGTTTAGCACCATTGACTCGTCACTCAAGGTTTAAGAAGTCTTAACTTATATTTGTCTTGTATGCGATATTCGCGTCGAGATCAACTTTGATAGTACTGCTGCAATTCTACCACTTTTCTTTTTCGTGCCATGATAGAGTCGAGAAATATCATTGTCTAAGATAATGCCGTAGATACTTCTACTAGCATTTCTTTATTTGTTTCTTTTAGTTGCTTTAATTATATGAGACTGTTAAATATAATTTGATAGCTCTTAAATTATATTATGTGATTCCAGGTTCAGGTCACGGTGGTCGTATACCTAACAATCGCTCGGAGAAGTTTCAGTTACGTAATGCACATGAGTAGTTGTAATTCGTTTTCTTTGCGAATCTAACTCGGCGAAAAGATTGTAGATAAGGTTTAGTTTGGCTGTTTTATTAATGCCAGATATAGTTGTTGTGCTTATTACATACTTCAGCACTGACATGAAAATCATGAAGCAGCAAATTGTATAAACGTTTTGAATCTTAAAAGAGGGATGAGATCAAGATTGTCAATTGCTCCAGTAAAGATTAATGATTGTCTACTCTATGTTTAATCAATGGGTAAGTTACTACAACCTCCCTGAGGTAAAGTGTAATTACAAAAAAACCCTTTGTTTTGAGATATTACATTCAATCCCCTGTAGTTTATAAGTTTCTTACATCCATTCCTACAAAATGGTGCCAATGTAAAAAATCTACAAATTGTAAGGGTAGATGTAATTATGAGAATAGAGGGTTTTTTTTTTTTTTTTAAAATAAACCTTACCCCCGGACGCAGTTGTAATTTACCTTATTTATCAATTTGGACTCGTTCGATTTCATATATTTGACTATTTTGAATTACATATTGAATTGTTTTTTCTTTTCCTTTTCTTTTAAAACATAATAATTTTCATCAATTTAACCCATCCCCAACGAGATTACAGAGTGGATAAATACAAGAATAGCAATCAAACTACAAAGACCGCTCCTGGACAAACATGTAATTTCATGAGCAACCCGATTACCTTCTCTAAAAATGTGTTAGACTCTAAACTCTTCAAATGTCTCACCCATCTTCTTTATATCCTCGATAATATTTCCAAAATCTGCTCGCAAGCTCATATTCCCATGGATGGCTGTGGAAATTACTTTCAAATCGCCTTCTAATACGACTCTCCTCCAACCCATATCACGTGCTAATTCAACCGCCAAAAGAGCCGCTTTGGCTTCTGCCGTGGTAGGATCAAAGGATTGGTTGATACTTCCGGTTTTCCATCCTAGACATATGCCCGAATTTGATCTTCCAATGACTCCAATGCCGCAGATTTCTTCCAAGCTATTTACACTCGCGTCAAAATTAATTTTAATGACATCATCATCCGGTGGCATCCATCGCACATAGTTTCTATCTCGTCTTACACATGGCTGCAACACTACAGTTGAAGGTGCGTGGAACTCATTTCAAAAGTTGTCTAAGAAAGCCACACTATCTATAGCTCTCGTTTCTTTCCCTTCAAGGATTCGTTAATTTCGAGCATGCCAGATAGCCCAGCATAATATGACATTCTTTTCAAACATCTTGAGATCTGTTTTTCTTTTGATGCCTTGCAACCATGTACTCATATTTGTCTCGTTAGTATGATAAATCGAGTAAGGGTGCTGCTCAATGCCCACACTTGACGTGAGAAGGAACAATAGAACAGGCGGATAACATCTTCCGCACATTCGTTGCAGATCACACATCAATTATCATTCAATACCCTTCGATTCTTCAAATTTACAGATTGTTGGCAGCAGGCCCGTTCCTGAGAATTCGGGGGCTCTAGGCGAGGTTTATAGAACAACTGAAAACGGGGACCTCTATTTGATAAACCATTTTTTTTTTTTATTAAAAGGTGTTAGAAATTGAATGTGCTAAAAAAATGTAAATAATATTTTCTAAAAATGATGAAATAAAAGATTATGGGGGTTCAGTGGTAGTGCCCCCGAAATATTTTTTGAAATGTATGAATATAAAATAACTAAAAATATGGAAAAAAATTCAAAATAAACAATATGATTTGCTGGTTCACTTCCTTCCGTGACGTATAATCTTTATATCAAATAGACTTCATAAATATTTATAAATTTGAATACACTAATGAATATTGATTCTTATTTTAGAATAAAAATAAGTAATTAAGACATTATAAATTTATTATTTAGGGGCCCCCAAGGTTATGAAAATTGCAAAAATATCTATTGATCATTTAGTTTAAATTTATTATAGAATTGATGTTCCAAAATATAATATATAATATTTTTAAAAAAATAAATACTAATATATAAAGTGTATATAAAATAATTTGGGGGCCCTAAATTTTCGTAAAAAATCGGGGCCCTAGGCGACCGCCTACTTCGCCTCCCCTCAGAACCGGCCATGGACTTGGCATTAGATTCTTACAAGCCCTCCATAGAAACAAATTTACTACTCATAACTAAACAATTACTTAGTAAAATGGTCGGTTTCTTAGATTAAATCTTTTTTCTTTTCGTTATTTGTTGAGAAACAGAGTAAATTTTGTAGTAAATGCCTGATGATACAAGTTTGTGATCTCTTG